CCCGATGCAGCTGGACTGGCGGGGAGGGCGGGGCCGGGCGTGGTCACGGACTGGCGCCCCAGGCACACGGGGGCTGGGGCCGGGCCGATCTGGCCTATGTGCGGCGCGCCTTTGTGTGCGAGCATGGCGGCGGGCCCCGCGCGGCGCCTTGGTGCGTGAGCTGGCCAGGGCTCGCGCGGGCGCGCCTAGTCTCGGGGCCCCAGCCTGGTTGAAAAATAACAATACCGGCCGTGCCCCAAGCTCGAGGCTCCCGCCCTGGGGGCTGGGCAGGGTGTGGCAGGCCGGGCGGTGTGGGAGGTGGGGGGGGAGGCGTACCAAGGTCTGGGCCGGTGCTTTCTCCGGCTCACCTGCCCCCCTTCACGGTCCTACCCTCCGTCAACAGCACGCTGGCAGGCGCCCGGCGGGGCTTTTGTCCGCACCCTGAAGGGCCAGCGGGCCAGGTCTCCAACCCGCCGAGATGTTGGGCTAAACCTGTTGTCGTTCCTCCCCGCTCAGCAACATCTCCTTTCCCAAAATCCACCTTCATTGTATCTCCTCCAAAACCCCTGCCGCTGCCCCTCCCCCTCCGTCCATTTGCCTCTCTACCCAGCTCGCCCTCCTCTCCCTCCTCGCCCTCCTCCATGCCCCCTTCTCTGTCCGCCTCATCCTCCCTCTTCGCCCCTCACGACCACACCTCTGGCCGTGCGCCTTTTGTGCTCCACCCTCCTGGCTGACCTGGCTGCTTTCGCTTTGTGCTCCCCTTCACCAGATGTCGGCAGCTCTCAAGGCTCGCAACCTCATCGCCGTCATCGGTGACCATGTATGTTCTCGCGCTTGTGTCCCGTGTCTGGAGAGGGAAGGGGGATTTCTCCGGCTTCACATATCTCCCTGTCTTCGCATCTGACCCCTGCTACGCCCCTCCCCTCTAGGATACCGTGACCGGTATGCTGCTTGCCGGCGCCGGCAACGTCGACATCAACAACAACTCCAACTTCCTGGTTGTCTCCTCCAGTGCGTGTCACGCCTCCGGGCTTGTTTCCTCCTTCAGCGCATGGGGGGCATGTGCCTGCGGGACATACACCTTTGGTGCTCACCACGTTTCCCTTTCCCCCGCATGCAGAGACCCCTGTCGACGAGATCGAGAAGGCCTTCAACAAGTTCACCACTCGCCGCGACATCTCGGTTGTCCTCATTACCCAGCCCGTGCGTGTGCTGGTCCCGTTTGCGTCCCCCCGCACTCCTCTTCGCCCTTGATAACGCCTTTCGCCCCGCTCCTTCTCCCCTCCCTCTCCCCCCCCCCCTCCCCACACACACATACACTTGTGCACGCGTCTGATCCTCTTTCCTCCCCTCCTCGACGTCCCCAACAGGTCGCCGAGGATATCCGCTACCTGGTGGACAAGTACGACCGCCCGATCCCCGCCGTCCTGGAGATCCCCAGCAAGGAGACCCCCTACGACCCCTCCAAGGATTCCATTATGCGTCGTGCCCAGAGCATGATCAGCTCCGACTAAGTGGGGCCGCCGAAGGCGGAAGAGGGCGGGAACTTACTCCATATCCGCTCTCCTGCCTGCCACGAGTATGACTTAGGTACATACACACACGCATATATATATATATGTGTATATATGTGCACGCATGAACATGCTTCCCCACCGCATCCCCAGACCTCAAATAAATATAAATCACAAACAACACCATACAAAGGGACGAAGCGCGGTGGCGCTCCCCTCTTTTGATCGTCGATGTTCATTTTCCGTGTCCACTTCACCGGAGGAGATGTGGCTCACTGTTGGATGGGCTCGCGCTGGCGACCGCACCAGTCTTGGTGGGCATGGGCCAGGATCCGAGCAGTTTGATCCTTGATGGAGTAAGACCGGACAATGGGGCAGAGGGGGGGGGGAGGGGAGTCCGATGTGGGTCAGCAATGGATTGAGCAACAGGAGGAGGATGATGCTGCCCCACTTGGGCACGTACCTTGGAGAAGACGAACCCCCGAGCAGGCTCCTCGGTGTTGGGGACGTAGCTGTTGCTGGGCTTCCCCTCGATGGTCTTGTAGTCGCGATACCACTCGATGACACGCTGGATGATCTCCGGCGGGACATCGTCCACCGTGTGCAGGGTATGGTGGTTGAGCTTGGCAGTATGCTGTTCAAGGAGGCTGTCAGCCGTGGCGTCACTTGCGACGGGGGCCGGCTGGCTGGCCTGCGGCTCGTCCAGACGAATGCAAAGAACCTTCCAATCACACTCGCCCTGGTCTACGAGACCGATGGCCCCGAGGACCCGGACATTGCAGACGGCACCAATCGGGAACGGCTCGAAAGACAGCTCAACCAGATCAATCGGGTCACCATCACCTGGATTGCAAAGAGACAGGGAGAGAGAGAGAGAGAGA